TCTCTCTCTCTCTCTCTCTCTCTCTCTCTCTCTCTCTCATCCCCCCAAAGCAGAACTAAAGAGCATCTACAAGTAATGTCTCCTTCCAAATAAATGCTGCTTTGCATTTGAGGCTAGGTAACCATAAAGCCAGGTAGGCCACTGAATTTTTACCTCCTCGTCTTTGAGTTTTCCACAAACATACACACTGTATACTTACAGAAGCATATGAAAATGGTTTCAACACACATTGAATAGACACTGAAGAATCCATGAGCAACCAGGTAAGATCCAATCACGACAGTCTGTGAACAGAGAAGAGGACCAGCACATTGCTGACTTCACTCAGAACAATAATGCAACTGTAAAAAAAGGCAAGATAAGGAAGTGTTGGAGTACTCTGTACTGGGGACATCTGCAATATAGATACTTTTTATTTTATGATAATATGCTATCCTGAGATTTAAAAAAATGTACTTGCTCACAAGACCACCAATACTTCTAGTACCTACCTAAAGGATCTCGGCTTTGAGTTCCTGCACATCAAGGCAGTACAGTCTAAGAGTTAGGAGCATGTGCTACCTGGGTCCTCAAAGTTGCTCAGCCTCTCTGTGCCTTAGCTCTGACATTGGGAAAGAGAAGCATTCATGTCACGGGACTAGATCCAGCAGGACTTCACTCAGCTCTCTCCTAGTTGTCTGCCCATTCATCCCCAGTGACTGGGAGTGTGGACTACAAAAGACTCAGACGCTTCTCTGCATAGACATCCACTGCTTTCAGGGAGCCACTTCATCCAAGTTAGAGCCCATCTGGGGTCAGCTCCTGGCTAACAGTTGCTGACATGACTCACAAGACCCGCTTCTTTTCCAGAAGGTCCTGTCATTATATCTGGGGACACAGCAGTGTGGTGATGTATTATATCCCCCAATATTGTGCGAGTTCAAGGTCACACTGGAAACAGAGCCAGGTGTGGTAGTATATACCTTTAAACCCAGCACTAACCATAAAGATCTGGAGGCCTGTACAGACAGACAGGAAGTGACAGAGCTGGGCAGGAAGAGGAAGTGATGTAGCTGGATGGAGAGAGGAAATTAGATGGCAGAACAGAAAGGCATATAGGCGTGGGTGTACAGGAAGCGGGTCTCTTTGGAGACTGGAGTGTCGGTGAGGTGAGGTTGGCTGTGGCTTGTCCTATTCCTCTGATCTCTCAGTGTTCCACCCAAATATCTGGCTCTGGGTTTTTATTAATAGACTGTTTAGCAATTCGTCTTAGACAGCAGGAAGTGTATTGTGAGCTGGCTCCTGTGGCCCTGCCTAGCCCTCCTTACTTCCTCGTGAATGTAACTCATGGCAGCGCACCCCGCAAACCTCCTGCACTCAGCCTTATCACAGAGCAGTCCTTTCCACACCAAAGGCGGGAGACACAGATGGAGACCGCTTGCTGCTCCTGTCTGCTTCCTTCTGCTTTTCTTGTGCTCCTGTCTCTTAATAAATCACGACATAACTGATGCTGAGCTTCTGTAGACTGAACTGCTCCCCACGTTCTTACATTACAGTCCCCAATGTGATAGAACTGAAGAGAAAGGCAATGGGAAGTGCTGTGGGACATACGGGGTTACGATGGTAACAGCTTTATATAGAGATCGTGCCCTTCTACACAGAGGCTTGGTCTGTCAGCGGAACCAACCTCTGCTCAGCTGGCATCTCCCAGCCTTCCGATTGTGAGGAACACATTTCTGTTGCCAAAGCCTTCACCCTATGTTGTTTTTGTTACTGTGTCCCCAAGTGACTAAGTCGCCAGTTCTTACCAGGAGAGGTACCCAGTAGTAATTTAAAGTTGTTGGTCCTTCTATGATCCTTTGCAGTCTCTCTGTGAAGAGTAGGAAGGCCAGGACACCTACATTGAAAAAGCAAAACATGGATGTTATGCATTGAGAAAGGTTACCGAGATTTTTACAGCACAGCAGTTTCCAAACTCCTTACAGCTTTGAGTCCATGTAGGTACCAATACTCACCGACAATCCCAGAAACTAGAATTTTTCCCAGGAGTAATACAAAGTGTGTGACTTCATCTGTAACTGCGACTCTGAGCATCAAGGGGAAATAAGAAAGTATAATTCAGTGTTTGAACACACTCAGTGTTTGAAATCTGCATAAGGTAGAGACTCATGGGTTCAGTTTGCTATGTATTTGGTGAAATTTTATTTGGCAATTGTTAAATGCAAGAAAGAAATGAGTATGGAAGCCAGGCAAGAGGTTCTTACTTCTAATGAGGCCCACAGAAGAGGACATTGTAGGACCATGGGGTGATGAACAATGGAGATGTCTGGTTCTCTCTCTACTTCCTAAGGTGATGGACCAGCTTGACTCCATCTTAGGGATGGAAGCCATTTTGTTGTAAGGTCAGAGCAAGCTCATTTCTGTTTTCTGCAAAATTCCAGTTGATCATGCTTTAACCTGTTTCTAGAATTTGATAAGATGTTCTGCCAAATAATTTTGAAATGTTCAGCTAAATTCCTATGTAACCAAAATCCGTCTGGGAATCCCCCCCCCTTTGAGAAGCCCTAGCCCCGCAGTTTTCTGACTGTATAAACCCACCTTGTCCTGTGTTTGCTGCTACGTTTCTCAGACTTCACCTTAGGGTGATAGCCCTCCCTGACAGGAAATAAAGGTTGCTTAATTTGACCAAAGAATTTAAGTAATGGTCTTTACTGTCATTTGGTGGGAACAACAGACACTCTGGATCTTGAGTATGGTGAATTTGTTCTCTGATTCTGCGCACCCATTTCCCAACCATTTTGAGAGGAGAAAATGGGCACCAAGGAGATGCTAATGTAAGTCGCCTGAATAACTTCTTGAGCAGAAAGGACAATACAAATTATGTAGCCACCTAGGTAGATGAAGGGAGCTATAGCTTTGAGATATGAAAAGAAATGAATGTTGATTAAAATCTATCAAACTAAAGGGTAACACCCATGGCTGATAAGGCCAGCAGCAACCCGGGTAACTACAAGCAAAGGATGTCATGCCAAGTCTCACCAGATTGTCTATGGCCATTTTCAGCCTGATTACTTACTTCAAAATGTTTCTCATGAGCAGATAGAAAGCATCCTTTGTTGAATCACAGAAGTTTTTGCCATATAATGAAATCTGAAGATAATGATTGACACACTTGTTAGTAGCACAAACAAATAACATCCAGGACAATCCAGCTCACTGCCGTCTTCTACACTGACGACCCTGACTCCTTCCCAGCATTTGGGTTTGTGGGATGCCCAGGAGTTCTCTGTCCTCGACCCCACATACATTCAGGGTCATCAACACTGAGGGGCAGGCCTTTCCCTTAAGTCTCAGATGAGGGAGTCTATCTTTGAAACATTTGACTGTAGTAGTTATTCAGTGGGTTGAATAATGTCATTACATAAACAATTACTCCTAAGGAAAGCCAGTCCCTTCTACTATGAGAATTTACCGATTAAAAGGTTCAGCACTATCTCTCACTGATGGCAAATTAATTGAATCTTCAATCCATGATTATATGACCCCATCTCTAGCCCCTCCCTCACTGTGATGATAAGCAAGCATTGTAATTTTGCAGCTTCTGCATTTTGAGAGTTGTTTTTTTTTTTTCTGTCTACTATGTAAACAAAGCAACTCTTCAGAGGCTTCCACATTCTCACAGGAAACAAGACAGAGATTTGCCCAAGCGTTGCCGCCACTCACTCTTCCTTAACACAGGTTCATTAAAATGATTAATCCCTTCCTTAAACTTATGTAAATCCCTCTATTAGAAAAGCAGTTCCTTCTCTGAGGGAGCCAGGGACAACAGCTTTCCTCACATAGAATTGTCAGACACACAGCCCCACTTCAATCTGCTGCACTTTCAGTTTTATCATTTTGAAGTTTTATTACATTTATCTGTATATGTGGGCCAGTGTGTGTGTGTGTGTGTGTGTGTGTGTGTGTGTGTGTGTGTGTGTGTGTGTGTGTGCTCACTCTACAGCTTGCCTATGGAAGTCAGAGAAGAACTTTCAGGATTTGGTTCTCTCGTCCCACCCCGGGGACCGAGGGCTGGCTCAGCTTGTCGGGTGCGGCAGCAAACACCCTTGCCCTTAGAGCCATCTCTCTGGCCCTCTGGCATACTTTGGGAATTTCAACACAAATATCTCTCCTTAAATGAGATATCAAAGGTAATAACATCTCAAGAAAAGTGTAGCCCTGATTCACGTGTGGGAGTCACACACCCACATATCACAGTAACACATTCAATCACAAGATACTGGAATGCTCTCCAGGCATTAGGGTAGATGTGGGGTCAACAGGGCAAAGCAGGGCACCCTAAATAAACAGTAGACTGCTTACCATGATGTAGGCATTTCTGTTTAAAAACTTCACCAGCTTTTCCAAACACCAGAAACAGCACCGTAGGCAGCCCTGCAGGAACCTGGAAACTCTGTTCTCTTTCTCTGTGGGAGGGGTATTTAAGTTCGTTAGTGACTTTCAGCCTTCAGACCCAGAATGACAACACTGGACACAGGTTTAATTTTTTTTTGTGATGTATACCTAACTGACATTTTAGCCATTCTTCAGCGCACTATTTGGTGGTCTTAGCACATTTACAATGTTGTAAATCATTTCACTATCCATTTTCAGAATTTCTCATCAAATCAAACAGAAATTAATGCCCAATCAAAAATCACCCTTCTAAGTTCCTCTCGTATTTGTTCCCCATAGCTCATATTTTTCTTGATGGTAGGGCTGCCTTTTCTAGGAATCCTAAGTGTAATGATACCAAGAGGATTCTTTTTTCATCTGGCTTCTTCCACTTAGCATAATGCCTTCAGAACTGACCACTTCGCTTCTTTCTGTAACACTCACATTTCACTGTAGGTGTGTAATGCATTCCTTATCCTGTCCACGATTAGTGGACACGTGGGTGGCTCATCCCCTTTAACTATGGTAAATGCTGTTATCATGGATACTGGGCAGCACTGTAGAAGTCATTTTCTGGGTTACTATGAAACTTTATTTTTAGCATTTTACAGACTGCAGCTGTTCTCGTGGTGCCTATACTATGTAGCATTCGTAACGAAGGATCCAGCCTCTGTACAGCGCCACTCACAGCCCATTGGCAGGGGTTGCGCTGACGGCCATCCTAAGGGGTGTGAGGTGGCGTCAGAATGTGGTTTGGTTTGTAGGTCCGTGCATAATAACACTTCTCAGGCTTTGTTGAGCGTTCTTGTCTATATGAAAGGTCTTCTCAACACCTGGGGCTACCTTGAGCTTTCATGGTTTGTTACTGAGTGACAGGAGCTCTGTGTGTGTTCTGGACACGAGCCCACTCTCTGGCATATTATCTGCAACTATTTTCCTCTACTGTGTGGGTTATCTCTTGACTCTGGGTTCCTTTGATGCACAGATGTTTTTAATTTTCATGAAGTCCAATATACTTTTGCTTTCTTTATGCTTTTGGTGTGAAATCAAGAAATTGCCATCAAATCCAATGATATAAAGATTTCATTTTTATGTTTTTTTTCTTAAAGTATTATAGCATTTCCCCTTGTGTTTAGATTTTGATGCATTTTGGGTTAATTTTGTATTTGCTAAAAGTACAGGTCCAACTTCATGCAGCTACATTTGGGCACTCCAGTTTTTCTATCACCACTAAGCTGACAAACAGTATTAAATGGGAGAATTTATGTATAGGATCCACACGCTACCCCAGGTCTATATGTTCCCTCGATTGCCAAACCATCCTGCTTCAATGCTGTCATTTTATCTTAAGTCAGAAAATGTGAGCCCTCCAGCTCTTTTTCCTGCTTGATTATCTTTTCTGACACACTATCAGCGGAGCCTGTGTGTCTGTAGATTACATGTGTATGAAATGACACAGTATGAGGGGCCTGTGTGTCTGTAGATTACATGTGTATGAAATGACACAGTATGAGCGGGGCCTGTGTGTCTGTAGATTACATGTGCTGTGTATGAAATGACACACTATCAGCAGAGCCTGTGTGTCTGTAGATTACATGTGTATGAAATGACACACTGTGAACAAGACCTGTGTGTCTGTAGACCGCATGTGCTGTGTATGAAGAGTGATGTCACAGCTCACAGTTGTCTTAAGCCTGGCATACATGGAACTGGACATGTGACATTTCTACCATGCTCCTTCACATGTTAAGACAGAATTCCTCAGTTCCTCTTTGAAGTTTGCTTCTCCTGGCTTCCACAAGATCAACCATGAGGACACCAGACATGCTCCTTCCCACCATTACCATCCCTCATCTCGGTACCCAGGCCTTAGCAAGTCTAGGTGGTTGTTTCAGAATACATTCAAATCCCTACCACTTCTCTCCTCCCCACCCTGATCCGCACTAGTCACCAGGTCACCTTGCACCCCCGCCCATCCCACTGTGATCACAGAACTCTGTGATCAAGTCTGCAAGCTTACTTTTCAGTCGCCTGTCCAGGTATTCTACGATCACTTTAAACATCTGAACTGATGCAAGGATCAAAGATCCAAAGGCTAGAGAACCCGTGTGGTATCTAGGTGAAGACAAAACAGAATGGAAGGTGAAGTGTTGCTCTGCATGTACAGGGTGCCTCTTGAACAGTTTCAAACGGGATCCGCAGAAAGGAAGGGCTTGTTGTGGTCTCTTATTCAAATTCATAGAGGTTTCTACAGAAAGTCTGAAACCATTATCTGTCTTTTCTCTATGATCCATAATATGCTCTCCTGAAAGAGGACTTGGCCTGATCAGTGGGACACAAGTTAATTCCTTTGGTCTCCAGCTCTAGCCCTTCTCATCTCTGGTAACCTACGGGATTTAGGACATTGACTGGGGCCAGGGATTTCAAAGCTGTGCAACTAGAGGCAATGAGCATTGACAAATCTCAAATTTTATTTTTGATTTTTGTACTTTGCCATGGGAATTCACTAGCTAAGAACGGACACCAGGGCGCAAACTATAACTGAAGAAGAGCCGCAGGGTTTAGTGGTGGGCTTACCGTACTGCTCGTCCAAATGAGATGAAGAGCGGGTACTTGGGGATGTCCTCGGGTTTTCTCATGGCCCAGTAATAGGAGGCGAAGGCACCGGCGAGGGTACACTGACCCAGCGCAAGGACAAAGTTTATAAGCCAGAGAAAGGCAAAGAGGTTGTAGATCTGGAAGGTCATGATGTAACTGTGATACACACTCCTTCCGCCATAGAAAGCGAAGTTACATGATGCCCCGGGGCAGAGTTTGGGAATGTTAGTCTTAGGAAAAATCTGCACTCAGAAGAAAATAACAGAATATGGTATTAAATGTAGTTCTTGTCTTTCCTTGTGGTCCTCAACTGGATATTCTGTCTCTTTTCATTACTTTTGGTTGTTACTTCTCTGATCTATTAACTGACAGGATTCTTTAGAGTTCTGGAAAGGGCTCACTTTCACTGTGTGTGAGATCTCTCTTCCCACTGTACTTTTACATTTATTTGTGTTTTCGTCGCCACCCTAGCTTCTTGGGTTTACTACAGAGAAGCAAGCTCTGCTGCATTCAATACTTTCCTGAGGAGGCCCCCTTTTCTCTGTGTGCCGATTTCCCCTGTATCAGCTTCATGATGCGCTGTAGCGAAATTCTTTTACTCACCTCTGGGTCACAGATTTCATCTTCATATCTACATTTCCCTTCTGGGACCATAACTTTGAATATTGGTACCCCTGATGTAGCCAAGAAACTGAACAAACTTGATTAAGGAGAAACTATTTACTGTTAAATTGAAGATAAACAGACAAGGAAAATGATCTACAGACTGGAGAGATGAGCTTTAAACATCTTCTTCCCATGCTTTAACTATCCTCCTAGGAGGCTGATCCTGGTGCATGATGGGCCAGCTGCACCGAGAGGGCCCTGAAAAACCGGTGAGATATATCGGACACTTCTTAGGTTATTGACAAGAATATGCATCACAAAAGACAGATCTCTGTGACCCCTTTAGGGGGACATTAAATTTGATTGACAAATTTTAAGGCTTGGAGCCTAATCCAGTTACTTCTTTACATTGTTCCTTGTCTTCAGGAGGATGAAAAACCCTGGACAGGAGCTCTGGTCCTGAGCAACAAGGTGGGCCCTAGAGATAAAGAAATCTGTTGGGGGGGGGGGTTCAGGGAAGTGCAATCATGTGTATATATATATGTGTGTGTGTATACAGATTGCATACATGTATGCATATGAAAATGTCATAATGAAATCTATTACTTTGTGCACCAACTTAAAAAGATAACAGCAGAAGTCCTTTGCCAAAGGATACATGGCTGTCACGGCCCAATAGGAAATGCAGATTGACAGCAAGAAGAAAGTTAAAATCGGGTAGACTAACGTGCTGGGGATGTAACCAATGGCTCTGAAACGAAGCAAATAATTAATGTTCAAACGGAATCTGGATCAGACCTGTGCTTTTTCCTTAAATGTTTGTTATTTAAGAGCTAGATGTGGCCGGGCAGCGCACGCCTTTAATCCCAGCACTCAGGAGGCAGAGCCAGGCAGATCTCTGTGAGTTCGAGGTCAGCCTGGGCTACCAAGTGAGTTCCAGGAAAGGCGCAAAGCTCCGCAGAGAAACCCT